GATAACAGAAGTAGTTACTGATATGCGTTAGTGATAAACGTGGGAATTAATGAGATGACTGTCAGATGATAATCCACTGATGACTACGTGTTTATCAAGTCTCTTTTTAGAGCTATCCACTGATAAAGGCCGTGATCACTTCGTCTGAGAAAGCATTCCAGGTGGGGTCAACTCTTGATGAGAAAAAGTGAGAGCACGCTGGGCTTTACGCATCTGTTGCGCAAGCTTTCGAGAAGCGTTCTGTTAATGACCTGCTAAAATGCCGTTTGTCGAGTTGGCTCGATGAACTCGATTTTTTGTATACCATCATCAGATCATCACTTATTGTCCTGTAGCGCAACGAGAAAAATCTCAGATTTTGGTGTTTGTTCTCCTAAGACTTATGTTTTAGCCCTATGACCAACTAGGTTGCCCGTCTCTGTATTTGGCCCAAGATCTTTGTGCCTCTTTAAAAGACATCACGCACAACAAAACTGAGCATTCCAAAGTGTGGCCGTGCTTAAGTTTCGAACGGTCATTGGAACAGCAATGAAGTAGTCACACCAAATTGTCTTCTCACAACGTCAGGAGTAGCGATTACAGTGCCTGTATAATCAATACATCAGAAGTACTGAAAACACCTGAAAAGTGAAGATCCTGGCTTAAGTGAGGCTCAGGACGCCTGATATGGGTGTAAAGGAGAGTCTGGCACAAATAGAAATTTTCGAATGCTCTACTGCATTAGGTTCATTGATCACCATGATTTCTATTAGTAAATTTCTAAGAAGAATTAGCTTAATGGTACACACATATGAGTAGGATACAAATATATGGAGGCCGATAAAAGACTAAATCAGCCTAAGTTTTACTTTACAGCAATTGAGAAACAGTCAGCTTAAAACATAAATTATGAAAACTCCATGTCGTGAACATTGTTCCTCAAGTGATTCAAACAACTTACTTACGCCAGTCGGTATAAGGCACTCACACTCCACATGAGGATCCTCTCCCAACTATCTACTCAAAGCGCGATCTCGCACTAGTAACCAAGCTAGCTTAAATCAATTTGAAATCGGGCAATGTAAGTCTATCTGTTCACTCTATACGAATACAACTTGGACTCGAAGATTTGCGATTATTCACACTCAGCTATAAGAAGATAAGAGGTTATCTAGTAATTACACACAACATACTAAGTTCACAAATTCGCTTCAACACAAACATCCCACCAGAACATTGCTAACAAGAAGAGACTTGACAATTAGCTAGTCATGGATTACCATTCTCTGATTAGTTTGGCTTTGTCTGGTGCACGTCTCTAAACTTACTAACTGTCATCGTTAATCCATATCACATAATTACATCTACCTCTCTTACAAACATTTCTGTCTTCCTTATATTCACACTCTCTGATCCTATCAAACTGTCTGCTTTACTAATTATTTTGTTTATTAAGTGAGTTCTTCAAACAATCGTCGTTCAATTATTACACAAACGATCACTTCATTATTTTCTCATTGCAATCAACCAACGTCCCAAGTGATAGTTTGACGGCAGACTACAATTGAAACCTTACTGCTGACACACAGCGTAACATGGAGATGATGTCGGTCAAATGACTCTCCTTCCATCTCTAAGGAGAAGTGATCAGGCAGTCGTCATATTTAACTTTATGTCTGAGATGGCCTGTCAAATAGTTGTGCCAGCGCTTCTTAACACATGGATGGCAGACTCTGAGGCGATAAACTGTGCAGCATCGGCTGAAAACTGAATTACTGACTCAAAGGAATCAGTAGACGAACGCATGCACTAATAAAAATAAACCCTGGACCATTCCAAAAACGAAGCACGTCCGTTCCTGGATGGGCCGGGATATTCGACATTTGCTGGAACGTTGGAGCGTTGCCACCAGCCTTGATGCAGGAAGTACAATGGAACGCTACAGGTCGGTAAGAAATCGTGTATAATAAACACGGGAAGCACAGCAAAAATATGAAATGTAATTGGCACTATCAGCAATCAAGGAGCCTGAGAGAACATTCTCTTAAATAAATTACAGAAATAAGATGCAGCATTTGATTCACAACCTAATTAATGAAAGTAGTGGATACCGGAAGATAGAGAATGATCAGGACAAAGCAGATGCTATGGCGAACTATTTAGGGGTAGTTTCCGCTAAGGAGCCTCCTCCAGATTAAGATCTAGGCCCGGAGACTAAGCAAACCATCTGCTAACGGCGGACTTTGATCAAGACAATGTACGTGAGGTTTTTGCACCTCAGACATGGAAAAGTCGACAGGACTGGATGAGCTAGACCCCAGAATCCCGAGGCAAATCGAGGCTGGAAAGGCTTAACTCTGCCATTCGTCTCCTAAAAAAGCTCCAGGATTTCGTAGTAGGTCGTAGACAGAACGTAAGAGTAAATTCGAAGAGCCCAACCAGAAGATCAGTATTTGGTGGAGTACCGCAGGGTTCTGTCTTAGATCCTTTACTCTATGTACTGTATGTTATTTATCTCCGAAGTATAGTTGCGTCTCTAATGTCATTATACTCTGATGTAAAAATCTGGCGAAAAATAACGGGTGACGCGGATGCATGCGCACCTCAGACAGACTTTAATATGGTGATTAGACAGTCTAAAGAGTGGCTGATGCTTATCAATGCGCAAAATGTGTCTAAACGAACATTGGCGATAAGAAGGTAAATAGGTACAGCATAGGTGAAGTGCCTGTATCCATGGTCCGATCTCACAAATGTCTCGTTGTGACAGTCGTTATAATAAAACCATGACACACTGCCAGGAGGCTGCAGCCAAGGGGTTTAGAACCCTATGGGCTTTCAGATGGGCATTCACCAAGTTAGATACTACCATATTCACTACAGTATACACACCCGTAGTGAGAACCAGGCTTGAAAACTGACTTCAGTCCGCAAGCCTTATTTATAATGTAACCCGGATATTCTGGAAAACGTACAAAGGGCAATTACTCGTGCAGTTCAAGAACTCCCAGGTTTACCATACAAAGAGTGGTAAGAAAAGCTAGACTTCTTTACTCTGTCTTGTCGCAGATTAAGAGGTGATCTGGTTTTGATGTATAAAACACTAAGAGATGGTTTTGGGTCTAATACATACTTTATTTTTCTTCTCACTAGATTGGGACATTTCAGTGAAGATATGAAGCGACTATAAAAGCAAAGAACGAAAAAAATACTCTTGGCATACAGGGTTTCAAATTGAATTACAAATTCTTGGAACATGCTACACAAAGCAGTGGTGTACGCAATTTCAACTGACACACTCAAGAGACAACTATACACTCTCAAAAATATACTAGAAAAGGAATAAAACTGTCCGTAGGCCCTCTGTCCTAATTACAAATTTGACAGCTATGACAAACACACCTAAACAAGATGTGGAAATTAACAAATTACTATAAAAATATTTGTGATTAGTCCAGTGGGGTGGTTAGACGTTACCCCAATGGACATTCAGATGATTCAAATGTTGTGGATGGACTGGAATGTAAATTCATCCAACGAAATTCCATATCTGTCTCTGATGAAAAACCTTACACATTGATATCTACTCACTCTTGAAGTCGAGCCACACACTACCAAATATCTAGAATCGTGCCGAAACAACATGAGGCAAACTCAGTCGGTATACACGAAAAACCGAAACCTATTGGACACAGGACTGACATTTTTGACAGTCCCGGTACATGGATGGCTTCGACCTTCAGGGCTGCTAAAGAAATTAAAGATGATTGGGGCAACCGCGAAAGGATTGATGTGATTACTACAAATATTAAAAGCCTAGTAAATTTCCTCAATCGCTTTGACTCTTCGTGTCGGACAAAGTTGTCTCATTTGGACAGTAAACTAACTAATGCAGAGAAGCATGTTGATTTGCTTGAGGCTCATGTGCACAGAATACTCTCCCAACAAAATCACCAGAGACCTATGCTGACATCTCCACAGCACTCGTCCACTCGAAACGATTAGTTGGTATGTGCTTTTCTTCCTAAATCTTCGAGATATCCATGTATATTGTTTGAATTATTTACTGAACTTGATTAATATTGCTTTTGCAAAAGTAAATAAAACCCTACCTTCAAATGAAGTTAGTGTTGTCCTAACGAAGCGTCGCTCATCGTTTTCCTTACTGTATTGACGCCTAACTAGTTATTGTGCATGTTATCTGTGGTTTCCTGGTTGTTCATGTGATCTAGTTCGAAGTCCGAATACATTTTAATATAAATCAGGTCCTCACCCAAGTGTGAGAGACTAGTGTTTATATGTGCATGTTACTGTGGATGGTGTAATGTCACATTTAAATGATATCGCACAACTACTTCAGTAGTTTGCTTAAAACCACTTCGTGGTCGAGATAAATTATTATCAGACCACTTCGAAATAATGTCACTAGGACTCTTAAGGTTTCCGCGATGTCGCATGCTAAAGTGGACGACATAGCGGTCGATGTTAATTCACGTTAAGTACTGATGTTTCTTATTTGTAGTAGTGATACCACACACTAGTAATTACTTTTCTAAAATGTAACGCATGAAGTATGGTAGTTACTCAAAGTAATTAGTGCTACGTATCCAAGGGTAGGTTCTGTTCGTTTATGCTTTAAAACAATTCATGACCAGTGGTATCTGTAACTGATAGGACCAACTTTTAACGAATTAAATTGTGTACAGTGAGGGGGTAATCTGAATGTACCAATTATTCATTTTAAAAATAGTCAGCGTTAATGTAACTTTAATAAAAACCGACTCTAAATTTCATTCCTGCTCTTCCATGGAAAACATGTGTCCTGTACATCCTTCTCTCCAACTCTGTACATCCAGGTGGAGTGCACCGGTTGGAAATTACTAGAGGAAGTAGAACTCACCAAAGTTTGCGTAAATGTTATACATTTTGGGATCCAAACCTAAATAGTTTCGTCTCAGGTTGGTAACCCTGTCCGTTAAGTCTGATTCTAAATATTAAGATGACTAGATAACTGTTAATTTAGTAACTACTCATATGTTTATTTATTGGTACAGTGATTCACTCTTTAAAATCAGTGTCTATGTTACAAATGGTGTGAATAAATTATTTAGGTGCATGAAAAATGAATTAGTAACTCTTGGGTAGCAATCTTCTTAATAGTTGGCCAATCAATATCCAAATGAACTTTCCAGAATCGTCGACAATATGACCATGTAGTTGCAGGGAAGTGAGGAGTCGATATCCCATGAAATATATTAGCGATTGTCCGACCTGTGATTTTTCGATCAAGATTAGATTCATATACATGTAAAAAGTTTCTAACTGTAGATTGTACCTGAGCGATCTTTGACCAACAAAAATAATAACAAAGAACAGAAAAATCTACGTCATGTAACATATATGCCGTTTTAATCAAATATTTTATTAATATAGTTTCAGTAAAAAAGGTTTACATAATGATTAGTTCAACTAAAAAAGAAACTAAAAGACACATGTTGGTCCGCAATATTTATGCGTTTATATTGTGACTATTCACGACAGTTAAACTAGATGATAAATGAAAACTGACACTATCCCTATTTCTCCTCTTAAATGTTACGTTGTATTTGTGTAATACCCTAATCCACAATGGACTGAGTAACACTCTGAGGCAATCTTAACGAAAGAAAAATTAACATATCTAATGGATTGAAATATTGTAGTGCTATCCTGTGATCATAAAGGGTTCCTTTCGTTTATATACCATATTTACATGGAAGTGGATAGTTTTATAAAGAAGATGGACGCCACCGTCATTTCTAGAAGACCATATAAGAAAAAAATATTAACTTAATCTATATGACGACAAATTGGGTAACTGTTTGTTTGTAGTTTTAGGTCTATTAAAAATGGGAATGTAGAAACATTTGACAAACTTGTCATTACCCTTGATTAACTAATTTGATCATTTTGAATTACGGTGAGGAAATTACGTATTTCTTAGCTACCTTAACTATCTATTAGAAGTAAAATCAATATAAATGCACGTATATGTAAACAATGAGCTGTTCAAAAATACGGAATATCCACACTGACCTGAGCGTCTGTTACAACTGTTGGCCAATGATATCGAGATTGACAGTTCTCAATAAGTACTAACTTATCATTTCGTAAATTGTTTTTAGTACCGGAAAAATGGGATTTGATGATTTCGTGCACAACAGATGACCACTGTTCACTATATTTTTTGCAAACAGGTTTAGGACTCTCCAAATCATGGTTAGTTTCTTCAGGGTAGATGTCTTGAAGACACGGTTGTGCAACAGCACCTAAAGCCAATGTTAATTGTTCTATACTAAGCAAAGCGGCTTCCTCAGCTTGTTGCAGGCGATTATTCAAGTAGACCAAACAAGTATCTAGACGCTCATTCGTAATTGGTACTTCAGACCCATGAATCCATAGCCATGAACTCCAATGTGAAAAATCAATATTTATCCCAGTACGATGAATTTTACTAGACATTGCGGTGGGATTATTGCTCTTGGAATAATCCCATTCCAATTTTTTTAACTCTTGTTTCACCACATTTGGCTTCCAACCCCAACGATTAAACAGTTGTGGTAAATTTAATTTCAAATGCCTAGGATATTCGTCTCTGGTTTGTGAATCCTTCGTTTGTTCACTTTTCCATAAACTAAGAGCACCTGAAACAGCTAAACAACGTTGGGAAGCATAAGCCATCTCATATTGACCTCCATAGCAGTGAACAGTAGCCATCTGAAAAGTAAGATATAAGCAATTATAACAACCTATTTAACAAAACTTGTAGAATATTCAACTAAGAATACAGATAAACAGTAATTGCTGAAAGTGACACAATAATGAAGTATTAACAAACTTAGTATTTAGTACATGAAGCTTAATTGAATGACTGTGGCTTTCAGTTTGTTTGAGCAATGAAAGTATTTGCAAAACAATTAATATTTTGATCCATTAAGAGAACAGTTGAGAAGGATACAAAAGCATCGAAAAATATGGATTAGTGAGTTATGTCGAAAACATTGCTATCATGTTGCATGATGAGGTCCATAATCAATAATTAGAAGAAAAAAAAGTGAGTAAATACCTTTAAATTGAAAGGATTCTCGAAGCTGTATAACCATGACTATATGCGACATTTTTACAAGCATCTTCAATGTGCAGTTGACAATAATTTGTCGAACATTAGATAAGAGAACGAAATTCGAATTTTTTTAAACAATGAACACATAACGCCAACAATCAGATTTATTTATTTTATTTTACTTTATTTCAACACACAGATATTAGTGCAAAGAGGCACCAACTACATATGCGCCACAAAAATCTCATTTGATATGTGTGAGGGCTGTGATACTGCCCGGGTGCCCAAACCGAAGCAGATGGTTTTCTTAGGGGGCCACACCCCGAGCCTTCGACCTGAGGGTCTGATCCACAAGGCAGTGGAGCATCGTAAGGAGATGCAGTCCCATGGAAGCTGGTGACCAACAATTGGTTCGTTATTTATTTATTTATTTGAACACATAAATATTGGTACAAGAGAGCGCCAATATATATGCGCCACACAAAACAATGAAAATTCGAAGAGAAATAGAAAGAAAAAAAAAACTAGGGAACGCAAAAGAAAAAGAGAACAATGACGAAGAGATTGGAGTAAGGTAGTGTGGTAGTAACGACGGAACGAAAAGGTACAATCAGAAGAAATCTTTCAGGTAAAGGAGACACAACCACTTTTTATGAAGAAAGTAAAAGAAGGTTACAGCAGGATCGCCACTGGCTTCTATTCTGAGCCATATCTGATAACGTCTCTAGCCACTGTGTAGCACCATCTCTCGGACCCCAACCAGGGAGTCGTGAAGGACCAACACAAGCCAGTCCTTTGCAGCTTTCTTTCATGCCACGACACCATGTCATGCACTGACCACCTCTCCGCCTCTTCCAACCAGTCCCAGAGTCGGCAAATAATGCACGACGTGGAATTCTCTGGGACGACATTCGGAGAACATGTCCAAGCCACCGAAGTCGGTGTTTCAAGATGGTGACACCAATTGAGTTATCATCTCTGTGCCCGAACACACGATGCCGAACCTCTGCATTACTGACATGGTGTTGCCACTGAATGTCAGCAATCCTTCGGAGACAGCGATGATCGAACACAGAGAGTCGTCTAACGTCCTCAACTCGGAGAGGCCAGGTTTCACAAGCATAGAGCAAAACTGCTCTCACCGACGCGTTGTAGATCCGACCTTTTACAGCCAGACTAACATCACGAAGGCGCCAAAGGTGGCCCAGATTGGCATAAGCCGCTCTGGCTTTCACTATTCGTGCATTGATCTCATCACTCACACCCCCACCAGCACTTATGCAGCTACCCAGATACACGAACTTCTCAACTACGTCTATCTGCTCACCGTCCAGGGTGAGTACAGGATTAGAATCCTGCCAGTCTTGTAGAAGTACTTTGCACTTCGAAGGTGCAAAGCACATACCATACCTACGGACACTGATTGCCAACTGATTAAGTGCGGATTGCATGCCTTGGGCATTATCGCACAGTAAGACAATATCGTCCGCATACTCAAGGTCGAGAAGTCTTTCTCCAGGCAACAGATCCACACCACCATTACTTACATTCATCAGAGCTGTTTCCAGAATGTCATCGATGGCAAAGTTGAAGAGGAATGGTGAGATTGGGCAACCCTGCCTAACCCCACTGCTCGAATGGAACAATGGAGAGAGGTGGTTGTATGCCCTCACTCTGCCTGAGGTGTTTTTATACAGGGCTTTTAGGATGTTAATAAACTTCTCAGGCACACCCTTCTTCAATAGACAATCCCAGAGAACAGTCCTGTCCAACGAATCGAAGGCAGCCCTGATGTCAAGAAACACTACGATTGTTGGCCTTTGAAAAGTATGGCGGTGTTCTAACATTTGGCGGAGGGTGAAGATATGATCAATACATCCTCGACCAGAACGAAACCCAGCCTGCTCCTCGCGAGTCAATCTTTCTCGGGTTTTGAACAACCTACGAAGAATGACGGAAGCCAATAGCTTGGACGCAATCGGAAGTAAACTTATCCCCCGATAGTTGTTACAAGAACGACGTGAACCCTTTTTAAAGATAGGGACAACTATCGACTCATTCCATGACGTTGGTACACTCTCTAGTTCCCAAACCTTTGTAAACAACGTCGTCAATTCCTTAGTCAAAAAGTCACCACCATCTTTAAAAAGAGCCGGAGGTAAGTCATCTGGGCCAGGTGATTTGTAACGCTTCAAGAGTTGGAGTTCCTTGCGGACTTCCTCCTCGTTTGGTGGATCAGTCGTCACCGGCCATGGAGGGCAGGACAGTCTGACCGATGTTGCCGGAGCAGCAGGCCAGTTGAACTGCCCTTCGAAAAATTCTGCCCATCGTCCAAGACGTCGATGGATGTTAGTGATTGGCATCCCATCATCCTCGCAGATTGTTTCACTCACACCAGACTTCTTGCTGCCAGTGGCTCGGATGAGCTGGAAGAGCTTCCGGTAGTTACCAGATGCAGCTGCTGCTTCCAGCTCATTAGCACGCATCGACCACCAGGCTTCTCGGTCCTTACGCAAGCTTTGCCCAATTTCCTTACGTAACATCCTTCGTTTATGGTCAAACTCACGGTCACCCGGAGTAGACCGACGGGCTTCAATGAGTTGTAAGGAACCAGAAGAAACCCAGTGCTTAAAGCGGGACGTTTCGCAAACCCACAACTGACTGTTCCCGCCATTTTCATGGCGTCATGCAATTGCAACCAATGCTCATCTATACTTTTCGGTGGAGTGGTAGCTAGCCTAGAGGCTAGCTCGGTTCGATACTTACTTGCAACAGAAGTTGCAACCAGCTTGCTAACATCAATCCGTTGATGGCGTTCACTTCGTTGTCCACTGAAAAGTAAGGCAAGATTGGCGCAGACCAAGGCATGGTCAGAGTCCAGATAGGTACTCCAAAAGGAGCGGCAGTCTTTACACAACCACGCCAGCGGTAGCTGATCGCGATGTGATCAATCTGAGTCCAGGCTTGAGATGCAGAGGGAGGACGCCAGGTGGCACATCGGCGATGACTGTGCCGAAAGTTAGTGCTAGCCAGAAACAGGTTGTGGTCTGTGCAAAGTTGCAGTAGACGGTCCCCGTTATCTGACCTGCGACCAACGAGTCCCCATCGGCCACCTAAACGACTCTCTTCTGTGCCTAGACGCCCGACCTGAGCATTCAAGTCTCCGGCTAGTACTACAATATCTGTCGAACGCACTTTCTGGAGAAGAACAGATAACTGGTGGTAAAACTCATCCTTGATTGCATCCGGGCTGCAATCTGTCGGGGCATAGGCGGAGATGACGAAAAGACATCGTTTCTCACGCCGATTTCTTCTCACTTTGATGGAACTTTCTAATCTAACAGCACATAACCGACTGTTAATGGGGATCCAATCGACTAGTGCTGCCTCAGCTCTAGCGCTTAGTGCGACACCAACGCCAGCAAGACCAGACGAAGATGCCACAGGGTCCCCGGATAAGCGCACGTAAAACAAGCTTTTCGAAGCGACAGATGGAGATCGAATTTGTAGTACTTCGCCAGAGTCTTGAATACGGGTCTCGGATAGACAACACACGTCGATATTAAGACTTTCCAAAGACATAGCCAGCCCTATCTGTTGTCCGACCTGCATAAATGTGCGAACGTTGAAGGCAGCCAGTTTGAATGGTGCACGTGGTTTCAGAAAATCTGCTTCAGTCCTCGTATTCGGTGGTAACATACAATTTTCAACCGGACAGTGACTCGAGAACGTTTAGATACAGTCGGATTTCCACCAAAGACGAGCCGCTGTATAAGTACGCCATTCGTACGCCATTTGTTCCCTCAGGATACTGGAGCCCATGTGCACCATTGGTTTGGGATCCGGTTAAAGCGCCGGACATTCGCTTTTCGTCCTCTCGTTTTCGTAAACAACACCCACGCCACGAGAAGGCAGTGAGTAGGACTTCCCTGGCAGAGGCTATATACGCGTGGCCATGTGAGAGTATTTCGAGAGGGAGAGCGGACTCTCCCCACTCTCGGCCGTACCAGGGCATTTGGGGGCAACAATCAGATTCATGTAGAGTTTCCATTTACTGAATCTACATATATAATATGAACTTACAAATCGTATCCGAGTTATAGTCTTTACTTAGATTTGAATATTCACTGATTACTTATTGTAGATAAAAGTATAAGAATGGAAATATACACTTACAGCATAACCAGAATGCAGTAACGAGATTATTGGATTGTTGGATTCTAATTCTATGTAGGCTAATATCGTAGCTAAGCTTTCAGGTTTTATATCGATTTGTTCACTGATAACTTGTAGATCGATTGCATGTACATGACCTTGACATGACATTGGATTTTCTTTATGATTTTCAATAAACCGACATGTACAATGAAAATCTTTAAATATTAATCCAAGTAAACGTTTCAATAATACAGCATCAATATGATTAGCAAAAATATGTCGTCTTATATGATTTGCTTCATGTGGATCATTCATTAAAGAGGAGGGTAGAAATGCATGACAATATGAGGCCTGTTGTTTACGTCCTACACGACCTATTTCCTGGAAATACAAAGAGCATAAGAATATATAACTAATGGATTAAATAAAAAAATGACGGCTTAAGCGATATCCTACGAGTATTAAGTTTATTGTTGCAGTACATAATACAACTAATGGCCCGAAAATGAAATAAACAGAAAACCAAAAGTTGATAGCTGACAACCATCTTTACATCACTGAGCACCACAACACTAAATGTATCAAAATAATCGTATTTTTGCCTGAATCAAAGTCTCCTTATAGTTCAACTGCCTGCAACCAAAATAAGCAGGAACTGTATAAGCGGTTCTATGTTGTAATATTTAATAGACTTCTATGTATAGTTCTGAAACCCAGTTACTGATCATAAGATATTAGTAAACTACAGACTTGTGACCATGAATACTGATGACTTTTTGATGACAATGCTGTTTCGACAGTATTGTTGTCGTAGCAATTCGAACAAGCATACCTAAATTCCACACAGTTGGGTATCTGCATTTATGCATTCTCATGCTCATTTTCATAGGAAGCTTATGATACTTCGTAGTTTCTAAAATATTGAACAGTAAATAAGAAAAAGGTTTCTGACTTACTTGCACATAATTTTCAAATGATTTAGTAAGTGAGAAATGAATTACAGCTTGTAAATCAGGTTTATTCAATCCCATCCCAAAGGCACATGTGGCAATTAGAACGCGTATTTTACCACTCATAAATTTCTTTTGTATACGGGATCTTTCACTTGTCGTTTGACCAGCATGATATGCAGCTGTTGTCCAACTCATACGTCTACGGCCAACCTGAAACAAAAGAAATAAACAAAATGATTCCAAATTAAGTTCTTAGCAATTCGTGTATTCAAATGCTCTATAAGACCAGTTATAAAAATGAGTAGGGTTAACATAAACATACATGGATGATAAGTCAAATAATTGGTGCCTTTCAATCATGTATTTCATAAGACAATAATAATCTTGGATCTATAACTTTGGGCCCCACTATGTAACTAGTTTGCTGCACATATTTTTTATACCTGATAAGAAAGGTTGTCACAAATGAGCTACACGAAATAAGTATTTGGAGATGGCTATCGACCTCTCAGAGACCCATTAGATAGATCATTCATTTCCAGTTTAATTCCTTTGTTTTTTACTAATAAATATGCTAAGTAGTCATGACAAGGAATAAAAGGTGACAGTCAGTAGTATGCATAGTATATGGTGGAAAAGCGAGAGAGTAAATCACCTGATCCACTTTATCCTGCAAAGCTGTACGAATGTATGATGCTAAATGCTCTGTTTCTTCTCTAGTTGCACAATATATTAATATCCCTCCAGTTAGTTGATTAAATGGTTTCCTTGTTAGCAACTTCAAAAGTGCTTCATCTTTTTTATCATCCATTGATGCTGATATTGTCAAATGTGACGGCAGAGGAGTTAACACTGGTTGAACATAACCAGGTTGATGCAAAGTTGTTTCGTTAATTGTATCACCAACAAACCGTGTTGGATTATGAATTCCCAAATTATTACAAATATTCGTGATAACATCTGGGGTACAAGTTGCAGAAAGACCTGGAATAAACAAAAAAAACAAGTAAACTAGATAACTCACATTTATCGAAGGAACACTAACTGAGATGTGATTATTTGACAAGCATTTGGTAGCTCGACTCAAATCAAAACACTAACGAAATTTCAGTGAATTAAGGCAACCAAAGTTTTTTATAGTATTGTCTAAAAGAAATCCACCAAACTTTAGCAATTTCTTAGGAGTCACATTTTATGTATGTGAAGTGAATTAAAACTGCCGTGCTACTTAACAGTTGGGAATGTTGTTGCCGAAATCCTTGATATACAAAAGGTACCATAAAAAACCGAGTTACTGACATCATAACCATGATAAGTGAAGTTTTAAGTCGAAATGATACAAGGAATCAAACACAGGGAAACATGTTAAAACTGGAGGAAAGGACAACAAGTGTTGCAGTAAACAGGATCTATCATAAAAAGAATTAAACTCGATACTATATCGTTTGCTATGAAAAATTTCTCGACAGCTGAAAATTCACCTTTCCTACATATTAAACTGAAGACTGTTAATTGTAAAATTCAACTATGACCGACACGTTTACTGAGAGATTAGAACGACATCACACTAACATGTATCTGTAACTGATATTTAACTAAATTACAGTCAACTAGCTAAAAAGTTTGTGATATGCTCAAGATCGATTGGCGAATCAAATAGTGTTTATTGGGACCGGAGTAATATAGTTTTTTAATACCTTTAATTTTATTTCACGAACCATTTCTATGCGATAGTTCATGAAAACTAAGTGTACATTCTGATAACATTAGTAAACCTCCGCTAATTAGTCGATCAAAGTTGTCAGTGAACACGGTACTTGTTGGCCTCCAGTACATACGGTGCTTATTCGTCTGTCGAAATGAAGATCCAAGCCATGACTTACGGCCAGAACAAAGCATCATCCACTACTTATGAGTATTTTGCATTATCTGCTCCATATTATAACAGATAACACTGTAAACACAGCTGGTAGATTAATTTCCTATCTTTGTCACATTTATCATGATAGACCTTCAGAATGATATGACAGTGTTGTATTTCCAACTAATGACAACTGATTCGACTTTGCGTATATAGTCGTTTCTCGAAAATTGGAAAGAGAACTTGTCACGTTAATTAATTTAGTGGTAAGATATTTTTGAATTCAATAAATGCCCATTTGACGTACTTAAGAGATTGATTTAAACTTCAGTATTTGAAATAGTGGTAATGAGGGGAACTCAAAACATTACACATTATTTTCATTGGGATTTCTTTGAAGATAAGACACTAACTATCAACCATTATCATTATTTCTTCCACGATTTCGGTGAACGTGTAAAGAAGATCAACTACCCTACTTACCTAAGTTTACTTGCGATATGTCCGGTTACCCATCTAGGTGTTTTTGTGCCAGTAATAACATGTACATACGAGACTAATGAAATAAAATTCTTCAGTTTTATTCTCGCAATATTCCATTAACTGTGAATGGTATAACGGTATTTTGAAGTACTGTACTCCGTGATAATTGCAAAATCCAGTAAACTAACAAAATTAATTGGTTCTCACTATCTCAAACAAAAAACTTAGGCGCATCAAATATATGAAAAGCAGAAAAATATACGCCGTTGAAGGATGTCAGGTATTCTTCCGTGTAAGTAAACAACTACGCGGAAGTACTGACCAACGATTGATTCAAAATGTACACGTTATTAGGGACTACTTGTTACTGACTGTGACTAAATCTAAACTCCCTGAGTTGTTCTTCATCTTTAATACACAAACGTTATCTAGGCTTAAATCATACTACCGTATTTTCAGAACTATATGCACATACATTAAAACAGATGATCTCTACACAACTCGTATGAAATTGAAAGAACAGAAAATTGAGAGGATGACAAAATATTTATCAAAAACAAATAGCTACCATCAGTGCTTGAAGTCACTAACTTCTGGTCTAAGCCATGTTGGTAAATGAAGACTACTTGGTTCGGGTCCGCGTGACTATCGTAACCAATAGTTGGAGACTCTAAGTCACATGGCTCAGAATCGACCACAATGATATCGATGTATACACTCTTTGACTTCTCTTAAACCAAGAGATTAAAATCGCTTTACATATTCCTCTATACCAACTAATTCTTCCTGCCTGTACTATGTCCTTATAGGCAATCTTTCTTTTGTATATTACCACCACTGAATTAATTACTTTTATGAATCCGGTGTTCATCTTGTTGTGTTAATGAGGTATGGCAACTTGGACCGATGCATATATGTACCTGGTCCTACGTTGTGGCGGACTGACTGAACATAAATGAACAAGGACTCAAGTTAAAAAAGAACTGGGAGAACTTTAGACAAGATAGGTCGTTTCTTTCGACATTCGTTAACAGATTCCATAATAAACTTAAATGATTCGGTGTATATTTCTGTTTAACGTTAATAACGTCTTAACTGTATTAAACAACACTTGCAATGATGCAAAGGAATTTACCCTTTTACTTTCTTCATATCCTGAATTCCGCAATCACTTAATTCTTTTTATTCGGCAGACTCATTCATTTTCTTCAATTCATCTTCTATATTTCTAATCTCTTTTGTTATTCCTAGTGCTACAAATACTTCACTATTGTTGATAATTTCATTTGTGAGCCGATATCCCATAAAAACTTGGACTGATTCACATTTGTATGACGTCCTACATTGTTGGTGACTGAAGCACTAACTTTCAGATTAATGTGAAATCAAGAACCAAGTGTCATTCCTATTAAGGAGTGCCGATTGAACATAGGCTCTGGCAATCAATATGCTAGGTGAATGTTAATTGATGGATTTAAGGTTTATAACGCATGCAAATTGTAATTTACTCAGTTTGCTGAGTGAAATGTGGTCTCTATTCGTAAAGTGAAAAGAATTTGAAATAAAACGTTCCGTGTTTTGTGGCATTTTAGTACAGAAAATTTCTATCGGATTATGTCATAGACATTATGTCTGGGTTTCGTGAAATTGGGTCCATGATCATTTTAATATTAGTAACATGAATGTGGGGTCGTTATCATAGTTTGGCTATCTGAACCGATGACTTTCGTGGAATTTGCAAAACGTTTAGCGACAAATGCTATATTGCTTTGTAAGGTAAACATTACAAAATCGATTTTACGGAGCGAAATGCGTCATCATGTAAGGATTAATGATTCCACAAAGGAAAAAACAACTCCCAACATACGGAATGACTAGAATCCAGACAATTAATAAAGAAACGGCAATTATCTACACCTAAAAGTGTTGATTACAATTTGATCTATTTGAGAACACACTTGAGATGCAGATGAAGTATATCAGGTAACACAGCGGCGAATATTTAAGAATTTATTCCTGGTCTTAAATTATTACCATTTAAAATGAACCTGCGGAAAACAATCTCCATTATAAGACCTCCAATTCAGAAGTGAGGACTGACTGCCTATACTTTTCTTTGTGCCAATATATCTAGTCTGTACCCCAATTAGCAATACGATGTCGACTACGCTCGTCCAAAAGTGACAGTAGAAATCATTGATGAACTGAACTACAACGGCAATCCATTAAGCCGGAGGACACATAGAGACATCATTGCTCTTGTGAATACCTTAAAATTTTAGTGAACCTTCAAATACATAAACGATTTTCAAAGCGAATTTAGTCAAAAATTGACACTTTGACTTGAAGCGAAACGTCAAAACCAGTGACTGTATAGAGTGTTGGAGATTTCCTGCACAATATACTGTAGAAATCGAGACCATAGAACTAACTTGCAGGACCTCATTAGAATATCGGATACTCGTCCATGATATATAATAGGCCTAAATGTTTGAACTCCTCATGCATACACAGATTACCATCGAATATATATGTTTACGGTGGATAATCAGTCGATTCAACTTCGAAACGCTATTGACACTTCAGATAGCCTATATTAAATATGCATCCATGGTATTTTTTTTCAAGAATTATACCCAGGTACAGAGCCACACACTCGCTGACGAACCGGTAGTATTGGTTATATACTCAAAAGAACGGTACATTTCTGTTGAAGTATTATTTCCAGCTTTATGACCTTCCCTCTTCTGTTTCTCTCGCTTTTATTTGCATGGCACACAGGTAGGTGACAACAATGTAAAAAGCAGTTTTATGCTCCTGAACAAAATTTTCCAGATAATAAGTGCAGTTTTCCCAGGATTACTATTTGTTAAGAATTTTATCAGCTATATTCTACTAAGTAATCATTATAAGTGAAAGTATTATTCCAGAAATGAACCGAAATTATGTTTAGACTTTCAATAAAAAATATGCAGAATTGTTATTCCTATGTGTACTGTATGTGTAAGGGAGACGATATCAATCATATGTCTCAGACTCAATTTATTGTTGTCACACTGAAAATCAGGATCGGATACAGTCTGTTTAAATGTACGATAGATTAAAAAGTCAGTTTACAGACTAACAAGATATATATACGTATACATACCCAAAAAACAATTAACTCCCATATATTTCCGAAGTAGATTACATACGCGAAGATAAGAAGGTCGAAAATGATTGGACCAATCGGCTAGACAATGTGCTTCGTCGATACAAACAAAACTTATCGGAGGAAGGCGTCCGGACTGAAGCATCCAATCAGAGTCCACTATTGCTTCAGGTGAAAGCATAAGAAAAGAATATTTCCCCCTATCAAAGAATAGGTATAAAGTACTTGACAACCGCGAAAAATTCATATATTCGTCCAAATCAACAAGTAACTAGGGGGTCCAATGAAGGAAATAAATATTATTACGCAAAACAAATTGCCGAGATTTTCATTCTTTACATTTAAAAGTCCCTTAGATGATTGTTTGTATTAACGAAACTACTATGTGAATTAATTTCTTTGAGTGATGGCTTGAATATCTCGGTAACCTGCGACTCTAAGGTTAAACTAACGACGTCAAAGCTATGGAAAGCACATGTCACTTTCATCAAGTACCATAATATGCAGGTATGTTCTCTTTATTGAAGAGAATGTTACTTGATGTATCAAGAACATTCGGCATAGACATTTCGATTTGAGAAGAATAAATTCGTGGGATAAAAAAAGTATGAGATAATTTTACAACGTAAGATCTAAAGGAAGATGCACAATTGCCAAATAAGACTGGCATCTAGGTATTTCAAGTCAACAAGTGAGTCTCCTGATAATATGTCAATTCCTAAAAAGTCAGATAACTACAGCGTCATACTCAAGTTAGACATATACTTGTTTCCTGTAAGCATGTTTCGGAGGCAGTATACATCGATGGTACGAGGTTCTGAAGCCCTAGGGAAGTAAATCTGTTGTTTGATTTGCCGTACATTTTGAGCAATCTAAGCTCCAATAAGTAGTTTAGAACATAGTTTCAGGTTAAAAATAACATTTCGTGAACTGTTGTCACATGGTTATAAATTCATAAAAGGGTCAATAGTGGAGATAGAAGGAATAATTTTTTCTTACCTGCCTTTCATTGAGAGAAGGAGGCATCGCTGCAAATGTCAGTTGTCTAGAGGAAACACCTTACTGACGTCACACCTCCGTGCAGTCAGTCACCATCTAGAACATGCATGTATATATATTGATTCAAGTTCCCACACCCCATTAGCACAGGAAAATGAAGTTTTCAGGCCAAATCCACGAATAGTAGAGGTAGTAATAGTATTAATTATAGTAGGAAAGATCGGCACTGAAGACACAACTCAAAAAAATAAATTAGTGAAAGGACAAATAGAAGTTATGAAGAATTTAGTCTTAGAGTTTGATGGAAGACGAAGAATGGATACACCTGAGCCATTACAAACGATTTTGAGCCATGTCATTCAAATACCCTATTCAAAACCCAGACATTGCCTACTTCGTGGTCCTAAATCACACGAGCAATGATTGTAAGACAACTAGGATCGAATTGCAGTAACTTAAAAATATCCTCTACTCTTAATGGCCATGTTTCACATCCATAAAGTAGAATAGAGCGGACAGCTGCGTAGTAAACTGGCTGTTTAGTTGGAATACGGATATCGCACTTATGCCACAAGTGATGCAGGTTGGCAAAAGCCGACTGAGGCTTCTGAATCCGTGCTGAAACTTCGTCAGACACCGGAGCATCAGTACTGATGAAACCCTAAGATAAGTGAGGCGGTCGATACGCCCAACAACTTCAATCCTTATCACTAATCCGGGCGGAAATGCAAGTCAATCCTAAAGTTACATTTTACATTTGAAAGGAGTGATCCGCATCCCAAACATGCCCGCATTGTTGCTTAAGGTGGTCAGAAGACTGAGTTTTGTCAGCATCTTCATCACATAGAACTATATCATCTGCATATATCCAATTCAAACGAGTGAATCTCCTGGTAGAAGATCAACTTCCGAAAAATCAGACGATGAAAGTGTTATGTCTAAGAGCATGTCTATGACAAAGTTAAATACAAATGGAGAAAGTGAACAACCCTGAAGAACACCACCTGAAGTCTTCGAGTAGAGATTGTACAGGTTTAATGTACTTCTTTGGGATGCCTTTCAATGACAGACACTGCCACAGAAACTCACGATCATTATAGTCGAACGCTACCTTAAGGTCAAGAATTACAACTTTAATCGGCCGTCAGATGTGTGTTTCGGGATTTGCCGAATGGTGAATGTTTGGTTTATACATATACGTTGAGGTCAGAAATCAGCCTGGTCTTCCTTAGTTTGCTCTTCACGAGTTCTAGTTAGATGTCGAAACATTGAGGCTAATATTTTAGACACTATATTAATTAAGCTTATTGCTCTATGATTATTACAAGAGAACCTTTGTCCTTTCTTATGGACTGGAATGATCAGCAATCGAGTTCACGCAGATGGAATTACGTCCAGTTCCCAGATTTAGGATAAGATCTCAGTAAATATAACTGTTAAAACTGGCCCACCACACTGAAGAATTTCAGGGATTAGTCCATCAGGCCCTGGCGCTCCCTCGCTTTAGATTAATTATAGCCCTTTCAACCTCACTAAGAGCTGAAGGACATACATCAGTTTGATTGGAGATAGGGGGTAACTGAAGTGTAGGTGAAGGCCAGTTGAGCTGTTCCCTAAAGTGTTTTGTCTATTGGTTCAATCTCCTAGATTAAGAGTGAATAATATAGTTTCACTAACAGCCTCATTTTTAATACTCGTTTCCTAAATAATTCTGAACAGTTGATTACTGTTACCTATCACCGCTGCCTTTTTCATCTAAGGATTTTTTTTCTATGTGGCTTTCCTACGTTCAGTAAGATGCAGACAAATACGTGCTGGAACTAGAGCATGATCTGAGTATAAACATGCGCTACAGAATGAGCGGCAGTCTTCAATCGAACTCCTCCAACGATGGCTAATAGCAATGCGATCTATTTGAGTCCATTGATGAGTTGGTTGTGGAGGTCGCCACGCCAGATAACGTTTTGCCCTGTACTTAAAGTTGGAGTATGCTAGAAATGGACGGTTATCTGAGCATAGTAGCAACAGACGATCGCCATTGTCCGTTCGCTGAGCCCTAACACCGTAAGATCCGCTCAAGTCGCATTTCGGTTTGGTTCGGTTTACTTACCTGAGCATTAAAATCACATGCCACTATTACTACACCAGAGCGTTCAGTTTTTCGAAGGCTGAATAGCCTCCTATAAAATTCATCTTTAACTTAGTTCGAGCTGCAATGATTGGGAGCGTTGGCAGAGACAATAAAAAGGCAATAGCTTGTGTCCCTGTATTTTCGGCTTCAACTGCCCCGTTTAGTTGAACAGCATAAAAGCGACTGCCTATTGGGATCCAGTCTAACAAAACCTCTTCTGCTTTAGAACTTAATGCTATGCCTACATCAGAGGCCATGCGAGGTAGCAACGGGGTCTCCAGATACTCGGAGGGTGAATCATCCCGATTTTCTATATTGATATGGTGAAGTCAAATGAAGGACCGTATATGGATCCTGTATGTGTGTTTCAAAGACGCGGCACACATCAGGGGCGTGAGATTCTAGAGTCTTGGTTAAAGAACCCTGTTTTTTTCATCTGATACAAGATTTCAACATTAAAATCTCTAACGTGTAGTTTAGAGCATGGTTTCATGAGACTAGGAATAACATTCTGTGAACTCAAATCGTTATCACTGGTATTAGCATTGATGGCACGTCTTGGTAAAGATAAACGAGGGTTAGTCATGGGATAGAATTGTTTAGAGGTGAAGAAGGGATTCGATCGTCAACAAGATGACCTCGGGTGCTGGTAGAGATATGAGGGCGAATGTCATCGCCCAGTTGCCCACACCGTGAAAGGATATTTCTTCTTGAGGGACCTGAAAAATAAGTTGGATTATCGGTGGTCTTCGCGACCTAGGAGCGTGACCGTAGAGCCTAAGGAACTGCTTGAGGCCAGTCACACACGGCATTTCTATGGGAAGCTTATATGTCGGGTTTGCACTTCCTAAGGCCGTACCGCCGTCGACGGAAATCTGTGGGATAAGGTGGGGAATGACATTTTTACTGTTGATCATTTCTAACCCCTTCCCTTCGTTGTGATAGTGCAGCATCTCTGAATATGTTAGTTATCTGAGGGAAAGAAATCACTCCTGTCACACTCCTGTTCAGTTGGCAGAACGACTCAGCCCTCAGATCTTAGAATTCAGCTTTTAGTTCTACCGTTTTTCAATCGACCTGCCTGGTATGGGAGTACCTAAAGGATTGAGTTTCAGTTAACATAGCTAGCTGAGCCATCACGATAAATAAACCCAAACACCACATCAAGGTGGTCGCTACGGCCGGAATAGTTAACCATGAACTTATTTTTACATTTAATAAAGAAACTTAATACCAAACTGCAGTACGAAAAAATATGTTTCCAGTATTCGAACAGGAATATTGCAATAATATGAAAGACCGCACTTGATGATAATTGTGTAGCTAATTATTTTATTCAGCATAATTCATTAGGAACTTTCAAAATGAAAATGAACTAAACAACAAAATGTAACATATAGTAAAGCAGCATCCTAAATGCTTATATCTTTATGAGAAACCTATAATACTCACCTATGAGCTTCTTCTAATATTTCTTTTTTGCGATCGACAGACTGACTTGAGTTCAGGAAAGTGCCATGTAATCCCGATATAGGTTGTATGACCTGGTCTTCCATCAACGAAATAAGGGGTGAGATGACCAAGGCGACTGTTTTATAAACTTGCTCGATGATAATAATGTAAAGTGATTAAAATGATAATTTAGCTTACCTGGTGTATTACTGCAGGTATTTGGTAGCAAAGTGACTTCCCAAAAGCAGTTGGCATTACAGCCAATGTTGAAATGCCCAGTAGTGTACGCAAAATAACTAACTCTTGACCGGGACGGAATGACTCAAAGCCCAACTCCTGTAGACAGCATTGCACACGACGAGACAGTTCATCAATAGGAGATTGTTTCGAAGGATTACTTATAAAATCGATTGGCAAAACATCATTAATATGAGCTGGAAAGTATCGATTATCCAGTTCAACAAGACTGGGTATTTTACACGTGTTATCACACTGTTGCCAATCGAGTAAATTGTTTTCGATGGAGGGTTGGGGTTTCATGATGGTGTGTGGACACTTATTAGCCCAGTGGCCTGTAACCCCGCAAATAAAGCAGGGGTTTGTCTTATGATTACCGTTTTTGAGCTTCTTTCTGAGCTTGTTGAAATAAACTTTTCTCCTTAACGTCTGTTGTCTTGACGATCCTTTACGACAAAACTGTTTCTTCTTCAAGTTAAGTTTGATATAATTATGTACAGGTAAACAACTCCGACTGGACCTCACACGATTCGACACACACATATCTAATGTCTCTTCTACAGGACGTTTAGTTATAATATGTCCCGCATCGACCTCACGCATGTCATTACACATTGAACGTCAGGATTTTCGAGACTGTTGATTTTATTCGTATTTGTAGAATCATAGTTTATTACAGAAGGATTTGGCATTATGTCTGGTGTGTTTACTTCATTGGTTAGAGAACGACCAAGTAAAGAGCCACACTTAGTGAGTTTTGGCTTTATTATGTTAGATTGAATACTAGTAGAACCAGTAACAGAGTGGCAAAATGATTCTTCTTTAAATGTATTACATTGTAAACGACTATTTTGACAGGATGCCCTTAAACTAGGGACTCTTAATGAATCAAGAGGAAAATTATCTACATCTTTCAAGATGTGGTCACCTTTCGACCGTACAAGTAGACATTCCTCTCTTATATGAAAGGCCTGATTACTTTGCAACTTATTAGTATCGTTTTCTTTCCCGCTTGTCGTTGAAGTAACCTTCGGTGGATTCTTTGTGCTGAACGTCTCTTTGTGCGACAGATGTCCACTAAGATTTTGTTTCAGTTTTTTGGAGACGTGCGATTGTAAGGGGGGAGCACATTCGGAAGTAGGTTTTTCAATCTTGGGACGTAAATCCCATGGATTAGCACAACACTCCTTTTCCATTTTACTTTGAATTGATGAGGTTGAAAGTATCAAAAATGACTTGAATGAGATTGGGTACTAGATATGGGTGAAAAGTGAAGCACCCTAGAAAAAAACAAATAGGAGTTAACGATATTCTTCCCGAACAATCTTGCTAAGAAGCATTCTGAAACCACAAAAAACAAAGGAGGTATACAAAATGCCGAAAAGTTTGTCTGTCAAGTATATATAGAAGCAACAAATTCCCGTGAATGCTGCGTCCACAAGTATCCTAATTAAAAACAACTGTTACCTTTAAGCAATAGGTAGAGTTAACTCATTACATAGAAATGGAGATGATGAGGAGAGGTAGTGATAAGTTAGTGATGTCTATTAACGGTAATAGTAAGGTTATGGAATACGCATTAAGCACGGCCAGTTCACAAGAGCGAGATGATAGTCCATGAGTGAACACGTGCTTTGACAAGTCTCCTCTCGAAACTACGCACTGAAGAGACTGCGGACACTCTTGCTGCCAGCCTATTACAAATGAAGGCGACTCATTAAGGCATAAAGTTAGGTAGCGCCTGGACTTTCGTTCTTTTACGCCCACTTGTTATGGGGTTGCTCAAGGAGAGTGACTGATCTTCCGATATGGCGTTCGAGTCGAGGTTACATGGTATGCCATATATCCCTACAGATTACCTGAAATTTTCTCAGACCTCAGCGTATATAAACACAAAAGATAGTCTTTCAGAAGAATTAACCACGATTCAGATTTACGCAGTAAGGACAGAAGCCCTACGGCCTATGTTATTCCTCTTCTAGTATGCTTCTATGATATAGCTAAACGCGCGTTTAGCTAGCTCTGGCTCAAAACACTAACACCTACGACCAAGTTCTAACCCTTAAACTACTAAAGCCTAACTCACAACCCCATATACTGACCTTAGTGGCTCATTCCATAGGAAAACCAAGTGCTTTCGAAATACGAATTATAATGAAAATCATGAGCAACAGCAACAAGCTATCCTTAACAGCGTTCTAAACTCGCGCATCTGCCAGCCTAATTATGATTTGTCGCTCAAGGCCGTCAGTCCGACCAACAAATGGTATATCGTGAGTGTTTGTCAAATCTCCTCTTGACATTATTCACTGGGGGAGTAACTGCTGCTTTGAGGGTTTACAACGAAGTCGGAAGAATCAGTAGTCCCGAAATAGTTCTTTATAAGAGTTCTAACATTGACGTCCCTCAACTCGCGAGTGCTTTGTGTATCTTGGACAGTGAAATGCGTCTTCGCGACTTTCACTATGAAAAGTGAGTGTCGTTACGTGTTAAAAGCTTACATGGTGTCTGTGGATATAAAATAGACCAGTATCGTTCGGTCCCAACTGTTACTCAGATTCTCCGTTCTATAAGAAGATTGGACACGCAGAACTTTTCGTTCCTAAAACTACTTAAGGCTTCGTGGTGGACATTGTTTTCGTCCATCCATTCCCTTGTTCAATCATTAACCAGTTTCTTCAATAGTATTGAGAGTAATGTGACTGATCTACAGCAAGCTGCCACTTTCCTATCTCCTGCTTTGAGGATTTCAGAGACAGTAGACTGTTTCTGATACGTTGCTGTGACTCTAGCGAGTGCCTGAAATGTTCGCATACTGATGAACTGATTGCTTTCGTGCACTGTTCCAGAATTTCAGGGAGAATTTTGTCATATCCTGATGATTTTGATGAGCTCATGCACTTTAGTTTTGCAAGTGTTTACCTGGGAGTTGGATGGAAATTCCTTAGAGCACCAACTCTCATCACAGTTGGGGAGTGTTCCACTTTGTGTGATTCTGATTGAAGTGATTGGTGAGTTGAGAGTTAAGATTTCAGCCATCTCTGGGTTGGTAAGATCTATGTAGTTTGTGCTACTTATATTGACATTAGTAGTTGTTGATGTTAGTCGTGAACAGAATATCTGACAACAGAGAGACAGGATCATCGAGCAGTAAAGAATGGAAACAAAATTTAATTTGCATGCAAACGCAAGAACAATGAATTCTGAGTCACTACGTGTCAAGTGATGGACCAATTACGTATATTCCATTTGGTTGTTAGATTTTACTAACAAGTCCTTTAATTTTCTGACAAATTCAATTTTCCCCGCCCGTCTTCTTGTTCACTACACCCTCATCGTTAGGCACTACGAGGGAACCAACCCCTCGGTTTGACAGGCCATCTCAGACATGAATTTGAATATTATGACTACCTGATCACTTCTCCTTAGAGATAGAAGGAAAGTCATTTGACCGACATCATCTCCATGTTACGCTGTGTGTCAGCAGTAAGGTTTCAATTGTAGTCTGCCGTCAAACTATCAACCGGAACGTTGGTTGATTGCAATGTGAAAATAATGAAGTGATCGTTTGTGTAATAATGAACGACGATTGTTTGAAGAACTCAATAAATAAAATAATTAGTAAAGCAGACAGTTTGATAGGATCAGAGAGTGTGAATATAAGGAAGACAGAAATGTTTGTAAGAGAGGTAGATGTAAGTATGTGATATGGATTAACGATGACAGTTAGTAAGTTTAGAGACGTGCACCAGACAAAGCCAAACTAATCAGAGAATGGTAATCCATGACTAACTAATTGTCAAGTCTCTTTTTATTAGCAATGTTCTGGTAGGATGTTTGTGTTGAAGCGAATTTGCGAACTTAGTATGTTGTGTGTAATTACTAGGTAACCTCTTATCTTCTTATAGCTGAGTGTGAATAATCGCAAATCTTCGAGTCCAATTTGTCTTCGTATAGAGTGAACAGATAGACTTGCATTGCCTCGATTTCAAATTGATTTAAGCTAGCTTGGTTACTAGTGCGAGATCGCGCTTTGAGTAGACAGTCGAGAGAGGAGACTCATGCGGAGTGTAAGTGCTTTGTATCGACTGGAGTAAGCAGGTTGTTTGAATCGATTGGGGAAGACTGTTCACGACATGGAGTTTTCATAGTTTATGTTTTAATCTGCGTGCTGTAAAATAATTATTAGGCTCATTTAGTCTTCTATATGCCTCTATATATTTGTGTCCTCATATGTGTGTACCATTGAGCTAATTCTACTTAGAAATTTAATAGAAAATAGGATGATCAATAAACCTAATATGGTAGAGCATTTGAAATTTTCTGTTTGTGTTAGACTCTGCTTTACACCCATATCAAGCGTCCTGAGCCTAACTTAAGCCAGGATCTTCACTTTTCTTGTGTTCGCTCGGCTTGAGATGCGTTGATTACGTCAGATTTCCGAATAGTATCCCTTCCTGTTCCGTGGTGGTCATCACTTTTAGTCCTAACACTCGTGGTTGTTGAGTGTTTTTTTGGGTTGCTATTTCTCTGCTGTAGACTGGAGTTTCGCCTTTCTACGTCAATGTTCGCAATGCTGTTCCATCACTACTTATCTTATTCTGACTGATAATCAACTAGTGTTGAAGTTAGTTCGTTCAGTTTAATGCGATTATATAATGATTATCAAGTAGAATATAAGTTTTAACGAAGGGGAATAAAACTCCCAACCCATGTTTATGATAGTGGTTTGAACCGTAGTCGGTGTTAGGATAAATTCGACAGTGAGGTTTCCATTTTGCAGGAGATTCGCTCGACTGCTTATATTGATGGTTTTCGCGCATGATTATGTCTCTAAACCTACAATTAGACTGACAAGGTTTTGAGATATTTACTGAATGAACAACTGGTAGAGAAATACACTGATGAAAAAAAAACGAGAAAACAACACCATTTAATGATAATTGCACGACAATTTGTTGACCGGTTTTGCTAATAGTTTCGTCAGTTTTATTGGTCACGTCACGTGATTTTCAAGTCATGAAAATGCTTTATAATGACATCCAGAATCCATTATGAATAACTAACTATAGTGTTGACTGAGGATTAGCATGTGGGATACATTAAGTTTACATGGTTGCGTTGCGGATAAGATCACCCGGGAAATAAGTAGTGTTGTTTTAGGTGATTGTGAAATAGCAGAAGTTTATAGCGTTAACGAATCCGGGCTGTCTGATTATATTACAATTCACGATCCAGAAATATTCGTTCACTTAGTTTTAATTTTAATAGCAGACTCTGGAATTAATTTTGAATGCTTGTTTGACTAACTACGTGGTAGTTTATTCTTTATGCCAGTGCAGCATGATAGTACATACGTTTGGTGACTTTATTATTTAGACTATGTTCGTCTTTTTATGCAACTAATATGACAGACCACTTCATAAATCCAAATCCGTATAGGAATAGCGACTATTATGGGTTTAGCGAAAAATGTTGAAGGCAGTTCAAATAACTGAAAAATTTATATGGCAGAGATGATACAATACAATGCATAAATAAGCTAGGTTAACATGTAGGTTGATGAGGGATGGAATACTTAAGAAAGAACCCAGCCAAAATAAAAAATGTTTTAGGATTTGAGACGACTCATGGAAATTCAGTTAGGAATATGACGAGTTACAAACTTTTTATTAGAAGCTGCTATATTTATCCTAGCGATATTTATAAATATGTGGCAAAGATAATTAGAACTAGGTGTCAAATAGTTTTCGAACGTAAAATGCTCCGCTTGTTGGCAATATACTTTTCCATAGTAGTATATTGTCGTATAAAGTTATTAAACGTGTGCCGAAAACATTTTGGTAGTGGCTTGTATGAAATATATATGGCTAGTCTAAGCAAATATATACATGTTAAGTACCAAAATAGGAAATCATTCAGCAGTATAGTAAACCTCACCTGAATTACTTTCAGAAATTAGATCACCCAACAGATTTGGCGTATATAAGACCAGTTGTGACAGTGGTGATCCAAGAGCAATCTGATTGAACACGCAGTATTCCAACAAGCTCCTTGGTGTGCGTGATGCTATTAAATTTGTCACTTGTTTGATCTAATAAGAATCCAAAAGTCTAGATGAATACTTGGCTTCCAATGTATTAACAATTTAAAATGAGATTATGATTGCAGAATATTTGTAGCTTAAACTCTCCTTAAGTTTCTAAAGTATTGTTTTCGTTGTTCGGCAACTCAAAAAATAGAAATTAGGCAAGCAGTGATCGAAAGAAAAGATATTACGGAATAGCTCACAGTTTGAAATAGAGTGGGATATTAAGTGGAAAAACAAGGTAAAGAATTAGATCTCGACAACAATTTATTCCGTGTTTATATTGCAAGCCAATGTGCACTTACGTCAATCGAAGGCCATGGTTGCTATTGCTCGATGTTTTGAGGATTTTATTTCACTGAAACATGTAATTGCTACCAGCTAATACTTAATATAACTGATCAGCTATTAGTATTGATTAAGCCAGCAAGCTGGGTACTAATCAATATTAAATTCCGATAATACACGTAGGCATTATTGAAAGGACTAATAGAATAAAAGCTTAACATATGTAAAAAGTCGATTGGCCAAGTTGAAGTGAGAATGAGGACATATAAAAAGGCCGTGTTTCTTTAATCGGGATTACCGACGTTGAATTATTGTCTAAGGTTGTTACTGGTACTGCTATAATAATTGACCTAATCTTTAAATTGTAGATTTGTTATGATGTGACCATCTAATCTATAAGACCCTACACGGACTTCACATCATTGTCTACAATAACTTATCGTATCGTGACAATTGATACTTATTACTTCTGAAGAACACATTTAGGATATAGAATAGTATATTTAATGTAAATAAAGACGGATTATACAGAATGATCACGTCTGCGAGGTTGAGCCATGCCATCCGATTGAATTCAATCTATTCTTTCCGCCCTTATCATTGTTGACCTTCTCTTCGTGTTAATTGAATATGCATTTTACCAGTTATCTCGTGTTCAGCTTTAAAGATTGTGTGGTTTGGGTCAATGCCACCACATGTTAACGTCAATGATATATCAATGTCTGTACATGAACGAAATCCAAACCTTAAGCTCCAACCAGTGATAACAAGGGACGATATCTTCAGTATGAGTCTTTCCCCACAGCGCAAATATGCATTTGTGTAGGTTTTGTTTATTACCTCATTTTTCATGGTATCCGGTCGTCCCTAGTGTTTATAT